TACTATCATCGTCATCGTCATCATCATGATCATCACAATCATCATTATATCATCCTAATAATCATCACCATCATCATCATCCCGATCATTAACACAAACATCATTCCCATCATATCACATCTATAATTTATTATCATTTCATCATCATCATCATCTTCATCATCATCATCAATATTATTTCTACTTTATCATTATCATTGTAATTATTACTGTATTTATTACTGTAATTGTTACAATTATAATTGTAATCATCTTCATCGTCATCATCATCATCATCGTCATCATCATCGTCATCACAATCCTCATCACAATCATTACCATTCTAATATTACCACCATGTTTTGGTTACTATAGCTTACGTTTTTTGTAGTTTCATGATGTGATGATGATGATAGTGATGACGGTGATGATGACGACGACGACGATGATGATGATGGTTGTGGTGATTGTGATGGTGATGAAAATGCAAATATTAAAGCTATGGTAACTGGCGAAACAAGTGAAAACAAAAATACCATCCTGCTGATAACATTAAAACAAGCAAGCACAACAGAAAGATAGCAGTGAGTTTAGTGTCATGATTTCAAATGGACGACTTTCACCTCATCATATCAATGATGACACGTATCATACAAACCTACAATCAATTGTATGAATCAACTAAATGAATTAATTCGATTAATTTGTTAATTAATTAATTAATTTATATATATAAATATTTATATAATAATAATAAATATTTTTATAAATATATAATTATTAATTATATTTATTTATTATGCGATGGAGAAATAAACAAATTATGCGACTGCGAATGAATGAACACAAAAAAAACAAATGAATGAATGAATGATCGAATGAATCAATGAATCAATGAATAACTAATTCATTCACTCATTCATTCATTTATTTATTCATTCATTTAAACAAACAAACAAACAGACAAACGAATGAATGATGCATGAATGCATGAATGAAAAAGTTTGAACGAATGAAATATTGAATAAACAAATGTAATATATAATGGATGAATAAATGTACCATTGATTGATTGATCGATTGAACAAATAAATAAATGCATGAATAAGCAAACGAATAAATGAATGAACAAATGAATGAATGAACGAACACATGAATACATGACAGTATAACAATGCATACATTGAAATCAGCTTGGAAATGGAATTAGCTAGCTTGATCTTGTTATGCCAAACAGTCAATCAAATAAATACACGCATGCATACATACAAATGCATACATACAATGCATACATACAATGCGTACATACATACATACATACATACATGAATGCATACATACATACATGCATGCAGTAACATACAAGCATACATACATTCATAGATAGATAATAATATACAAATATGCATACATACATACAAATATATCATATATATATATATATATATATATATATATACATATATATAATATATATACGTACATGCCCAAAAATAAGCATTTAGCATGCGAACATTCCTTTTCTTCATTCTCCTGCCTTATCCTTTTAGGACATTGGCGACCATCGACCTCCACAAAACCTGATCTTTAACTTGATCTTGAAAGTTGAAATTTGTTGGCACTCAACAAGTGATACAAGGACTTAATGAATGTGATTCGTTGCTAAACGTGATCTCTTTTCCCTGCAATCTTTCCAGTAGTTATTAGATCTTCCATTTCTTCCTTCCGCATGATGAGACCAAAAAACTTTAATATCCCCGTAGTTATTTCCTCTTTTCATAACCGGACAGTTTTAATACATCCTCATTCGAAGTATGGAAGGTCCAACTAATTTTCAAAATTCTTCTCAAAAACCACATCTCAGTAGCTTAATTTTTTTTCACATTTCTTTAGAAATTGTTCAGGACTCAGAGCCCTAAGTGAGCACAGGAAAAATGTAACACCCTAACAGTTTCAATTTTGCTGATATTTTGATTTCATTGTTGGTGAAGATATTTTTCATTTTAAAATGTTTCTTCTTCCACATCACACAATAACCTGAGGTAATCAGACTTCTGAGATAATTGAAGCTGTTGACTTGTTTCGCCTGTTTACCATTAATGATTATGGAGCAGATCGGGGCGGTTTTGCTTTTACTGATAACCATGCACTCTGTTTTGTTGATGTTAATTTGCAAGCCTTTTCTTTCACTTTCAAAAACCAGTTTACAAACAATTGTTTGCAGTCTTTCTATTGATTCCGCTATCAGAGCTGTATCATCAGCATATTTTACATTGTTTTACAACGCCTCCAATAGATATTCCAGGTAGATATTTTTATCTTTTTTTTTATTAGTCTTTATTATTGCAGCTCTGACATACGCAGAACCACTTACAATGTTACAGATATATTATCTATATATCTTTTATTATGTTCTTCATATCCTCATCTATTGATTTGAAGCAGCCATCTTCGCCACAAAAGCTGTTTATCTTTTTCACACGACGTACACATGTATTTATAAGCACGCGCAAGCACCGCATCATATACGCTGAGTATGATGTGATAGCCATTGAGATGTTTGACTCAGTGAGCATTTGAACCACTGAGCCATCTCGCCGGCCAACATGCGACAACTTACGTCGTCTACCCATTTACCAACCTCGGAAGGATGGACGGCTGGGTTGACCGGGGGTCGGCTACCCGGATGAACCTGCAGAAACTGCAGAATTTGAACCCGGGTCGTGGGAGTGGTAGACGGACACGCTAACCACTCGATCACGAGACCATCTTTGGTCCATACACATCTTTTTAATAGGAAGCTATTCAATCTATCTTTCAAGAACTTTTTTCCCTCTAAGATTATTTCATCTGATTTAGCTTCTATGCATCCAGAAACGGTACAAGCCATTTTTCCGGTGATTTCTTTGATGTTTTTATACAATGCATTTGTATTTCTGTTTTTGATTTTTGTCCAACTTTTAGTACCTATCAGGATTGCAGCCTTTCCTTCATTCATCCATCAGAGATACGATGTTATCCATTTATGACCTCCTCTTTGCTTCATCACAGTTATAACTTTCTTTGCTGATTTCGTGAGGGCATCTTTAAATATTTTATATTTAGATTTATTTACGTCTTTCGTCAATAACTGAAAACGATTCCGTACTTCAACGTTATACTTGACCTTGATCTCATCATTCTGTAACAGACTGACAAAATGCAAACGTGTTTGGACCACTTCACCTTGATTTTCTTTAATTTTATCTTTATTTTACAAACAATTGTGTTATGATCACTGCTACAATCAACTCCAAGAAAACTTTTGCATTGTAGAACAGCATTTCAAAGTCGTCTATTTATTGTAATGTAATTAAGCATATTTCTTACTTTGTCTCCGGGACTCTCCCAAATATATCTTTGGCTTGAGTGATTGTCAAACCAGATGTTGATTATAATCTGATCATTTGTGACACACCATACAATCAATTTATTTCCTCCTTCATTTCTTTCACCTATCCTATGAGGACCAACCACGTCATGTATTTTTTCTGAGTCAACTTTTGCATTCAGGTTGCATTCAGGTCATCCATCACAGTAACAACTTCTTGAGATTAACATGTTTTTTAATCATCATCAAGATCACTGTAAAAAGCATCAAGGTCTTTTTCACTGCTCTCAGACTTTGGCGCATAAACTTGAATAACAGCTAGGTTGAAAGGTTTTGCGTGTATTTTGACCAACAAAACTCTATCTGACACCGCCCAGAAATCTTCTAAATGTTTAGACATTTTATTGTTTAAAAGTATACCTACTTCTCGTTTGTATGAATCATCCTGAGAGTAGATAAATTTGCCTTTTTCAAAGGTAATGACATCTGATTTTTTCTACCGAATTTCGTTCAAACCTAGAATGCTGAGTTTCATTCTTTCAATTTCTTATTTTACGTTCTCGAAATTTCCAGTCTGGTACAATGTTCTAACGTTCCATGTTGCCACAGTAGAAGTTGTGTTCAACGTGCCACTAAAATGATGTTTTTTGTTCTGGTTTGTGTTTGTCGTTGGTTTTCTTCGCAAAAGTCGTGCTTTCAACATTTCCATATGAGATGAGTCAAAATACGAACATTGTCAAAACCAAACACATAAACAAACATGCACATACACATGCACATATGCAAGCGGATCACGAACGCAACACATCAAACATAAAATACACACACACACACACAAACACATGCATGCATGCATATTCACACATACACACACACATAATAAGTTACACGGAGTAACACAGGAAGATATTCAGAAGAAACCTGCATACACTCTTATAATTATGTGTATAAATTAGCGTACATGCAAACATACACGCGAATAAATATCATTAGGACCTAGATGTATGTATGTATGTGTGTATGTATGTATGTGTGTTTGTGTGTGTATGTGTATATGTATGTATGTTTGTATGTATGTATGTGTGTGTGCGTGCGTGCGTACGTGTGTGCGTGTGTGTGTGTGTGTGTTTATTTTATTTATTTATAGAAAAAGCCAGCTTTTAAATTTAGGTTAGACAAAAATTGGAAATGTAAACAAGAGGGATATGTCAACAATAATCAATTCTACATCAACATACCAACAACATAATAATATTATAGATGTATAATAATAATAATAATAATAAATAATAATAATAATACCAACAATCAATTAAGAATGTACCAGTTTCTTTTGTTATGCGTACAAACAGCAACAACAGCAACAACAACCGATAACACAAAAATGTTGCACAGATTGTTGTAACAACAACAACAGCACCAACAACAACATTAACAACACAAACAACAACAACATTAACAACACAATCAACAACAACACCAACAACAAAACATCGTTTCATTCCTAGCAACAGAGTAATATTAAATCAAACGTCAAACAATAAGAGGAGATGACAGGCACAAAACACGAAAAGACAAACAACGACAAACTTTTCACATCACACACAAACACACACACATCAAACAATACATCAACACTCAAACACACACACACACAAATACAACCCAACACACACCACACATGCTACACACATACACACACACTGTTACACCACACACATACACACCACACATACTACACCACACACACACACACACACACATATTGTTACACCACACACACCACACATACTACACACATACACACACACTGTTACACCACACACACACACACACTGTTACACCACACACACACACACACACACACACAGGTTAACTTTTCTAGTTTTCAACGCATTGTATTCAAACATTTTTTTTGTTTTAAACAAAATTAAAATTAGTGAACGTAAATGGAAAATGAAAAATAAAATTTTTAAACGCAAAAATTCTAACAAAAAAAAACTTCTGTTTATTTTTTTTTATTCATTCATCAGTTTATTTTTTAATTTGTTCTTTTGTTCATTCATTTATTCATTATTTATTTATTTAATTTTTCATCCCAACAACAATATTTTCATTTACAATTATACAAATTAATTCATAATTCAATTAAATGAAATAATTTCAATCATTCATTCGTTTTTTTTGTTTCTCGTTAATTTGGGAACTTTTTGTAGTTTTTAATTCTAACATTGATGCTTCCATTATTAATTAAATGAATGAATTAATTTGTAATTAATTAGTTATTCCTTCCATAATTAAATCACTCATTAGTTTGTTTATTTATTTAATTTATTTGTTTGTTTGTTGGTTTGTTCATTTTTGTAGTTGTTGTTTATTTTTTGTTAAATAGGATTAAAAAGTGTTACACACACACACACACACACACACACACACACACACACACACACACACACACACACACACACACACACACACACACACACACACACACACACATACAACATTCACTCTCACACACACACTCACACACACACACACATTACACTCACACACACCACACTCACACATACAAATATACCCAAACACATACACACACACACAAACACTGTTTTAGGCATCTCACTATTCAAAACATACCCTCCTATCGACAACATTAACACAAATTGTAATCATTCCTCTACCGTTGAAATTAAATATCCTATAAGAATTAAAATATAATGAAATTAAGCTAAATCTTCAAAAATATTTCTCCATCATATCTTGCAAACTAAACATATATCAAACATACAAACTAAATAAACAACGACGTTTTTGACATACTTCATACCTCACGGCACTTTATGATTTCGCAACATGTATTAGATACTACATATTTTTTTAAATTTTGGGGGCGGCTCCCCATGCCTACCCCCCTCTGGCGATTGACCCGTGTGCATGCCCGATGAATATTTGAATTCTGTACAAAAACATTATGTTTGTTTGTATGTCTTTTGTTTGTATGTTTGTGTGATTGTTGTATGTTTGTATGCTTTTTATGTCTGTTTTTTCGTTTGTATGTTTGTTGTTTATAAATGCACGGAGGCATTATTCAGTCACACGTATGACGTACGCACGTAAAAACATACATTCATACACACTACATTAGAATTGTATATTGTTTATATTGATATGTAATTTGTTTGCATACATACTTTCCGATTGTATACAACCCGTGTACAACATTTGTATATTTTGTATATTCAATGTGATGTAATAATAGTCGCAATAGATATAATTAGAACAACAACATTTGAATATATTTGTATATTTTTGTATATTTTTAAGTATTTGTATGTTTTGTTGGGAAGAACAAGATGAAGAAGAGGAAGAAGAAGAAGAGGAGGAAGAATGTTCAATGAGAAGTAATGTGCTTTGAAAATTGCTAGGCATAAATCACTCTTGTCATTTCTGTCGGCGTATATTATTATTTTTTTCTTAATCATTACTATTATGATTGTTGTTGTGTTGTTGTTGTTTTTGTTGTTGTGTTGTTGTTGTGTTGTTTTGTTGTTGTTACTACGTCAATTTGTTTATTAATTTTAACCCTATTATGACGTAATTATTAGTTTTATCGTTAGTGCTGTTTTTATTATTATCCTCTGCCATTTTTGTTGCAGATGTAGTTGTAGTTGATGTTGTTGTTATTGTTGTTGATGTTGTAGTTGTTGTTATTGTTGTTGATGTTGATATTTTTGTTGTTATTGTTGTTGTTGATGATGATGATATTTTTGTTGCTGCTGCTTACAATGATGATTGCGATGACGTCATAGCTGTTGTTGTTTTTCGGAAACAACAATTATGGATTATGTTTATGTTCTGTTGTTTATATTATTGTAATTGCTGTCATTTGGTATTATTATTATTATTATTATTATTATTATTACTATTACTATTATTGTATTGCGAAATACGAGAGTTAGCAGACTTCTACTAGCTCACTATTTTAGTTACATTAATCGAGTTTTATATCGTTTTAAAGTATAAAAAATAGGTGTAAAAATTGCGAAAAATTATGACGAATAAAATGATATTAATTTTTCCTAATTCTAAATATCTATTAAATTTAATTATAATTTTTAACTTAATTTTAATAATAAATGCTGCAAAATGCCCATATTGCTTTAGAGATTTTGTTAAACTCGGAAGCCACTCCTGGCGTTGTACAAAATCTACTGCAAACAGTAATAATTACAATAATGCACATTTACAAACAGGTGACAATATCATAATTTCTCCAAATTTACTGGCCGATAATTTAAATAATAATATTGCCGTTGATACTGATAACAATTTAACAACTTGTTGCTGTGGTAGACGATGTAAAGGGAGAAAAGGTTTGCGAATGCACCAACGATCGTGCAAAACATTCAAGGACTTGCAAAATTCGAGAAAATTTCCAAATGATCCAGAAGCGGATTCCAAATTGACGTCATCTCCGATGCAACAGAAAGAATCTCCACCGCCGCCAACATCAACGTCACCGCCAACATCATCGCCACCGGCAAACAACATCACGAACAATACACCACTCCTAGGGATTAAACTACCCAAAACAACAACTCATTGGCTTGAAGCCACTGCATATTTCCACTCTCAAATAGCAACACTGCCAAACATTACTGACATCAATAACTTCACTACCACTCTACAAACACTAATATACAATTATTTCGCATCAAACTACGGCACTCTTAATCAAAAATCAAGCTCAATAACAACACTCGATAAACCAATCAACAAACTAAAGTCAGAATTGAAACAATTAAAGCTGCTAAGCCGTAACAACCACAATTTTGGCGTCTAAATTAGCACGCTGAGCAAACATATTAGATCAAAAATATCATCAGCAAAAGCGATAAAAGCTGAAAAAACAGTCAATATCACAAGCCAATTAAAACAAAAATTCTGGGCAACGTGTGAAAAATTACTAAATCCGACAACCGCTCTGTTTAGCGTCGAAGAAGCCAACAAATTTTTCAACAAAATTTTAAAAGACCCATTTCACAATAAATATCGCCTTCCAAATTGGATCGAACCTCTAACGATCCCTTCAATTGCCTGCAATACCAATCCTCCTACGTACAATGAAATATTCTCAATAATCAAGAAATGCAAGTCGAAAGCATCTCCTTGTCCTCTAGATCAAATGTCAATAATAATTCTCAAAACATGTCCCATACTTCGCACAATCCTTCATCTATTACTGGTTGAGTGTTGGAGAACGTCGTCGATCCCTAAATGCTGGAGAAAAGGGTTGACCATACTGATCTACAAAAAGGGAAACGCCAACGACCCAGCGAATTTCAGGCCAATAACACTTCAACCAGTATCTATAAAATTTTCTCAACATTTGTAAACAATAGAATATACAAATATTTAGATTCAAACAACTTCATTAATAAAAACATCCAAAAAGGCTTCTACCCCAAAGTTGACGGTGTAGCTGAACACACGCAACTACTATCTCACCTTCTAAAGGACGCCAAGAGACATCAGAGGACAATCATTGTTACCCTCCTAGATTTAAGAAATGCATTTGGCGAGGTTAGCTATGATCTAATTTCATCTATCCTAAGTTATCACCACATCCCAAACCAGGTCAGCAATCTAATTAGATCAATATACGCCGATTACTCGATAACTGTATCGGCGTGCAACAAACTAACCTCCCCAATTCAAGTAAAAAGGTGACCCAGGCTCACCATTAATTTTTAACTTCTGTTTCAATCCTCTAATGAAAATGCTAGAAGCAAAACAATATCAACAATGCGGATACATATGGGGACCAACAGCCAATCTAAAATCCAGAGGCTGGTTTCAGTTTGCCGACGATTCGGCAATCATTGCTAACAGTTCCGAGAGTGCCCAGAGACTGATCAATTTCAGCCAAGCATGGTGCAAATGGACGGGTATGAAGCTGAGAACTGACAAATGCTGTACATTTGGGATGAGAAAGCTGGACGGAAAGTATGAGCAGTTTTTGCCTCAATTGACAATAGATGATGAAATAATTCCCCGGGTGAATATTAACAAAGGTTTTACGTACTTTGGAATAATGTACGATTTTGAGGGCATAGATACCAGAGAGAAAGACAAACTGCACAATAAGCTCAAGGTTATGCTGAGGAAAATTGGTGGACTGGATATAACTGTTCAATGGAAGCTGGAAATTCTTAGGCGTTTTGTCCCTACTCAAATCTCATTTGAACTACGCACCTACAATATTTCGCTAACCTGGATAGAAAACACACTGGACCGCCTTGTGACAGAAACAGTAAGAGAATGGCTATCACTGCCCATAAGCAGTTGCATCGCCGAAGTTAGCTCGCTGCCGTATAAAACTGGTGGCCTCAACATAAAATCGTTGAAACGGCACGCCGAGATGTTACGTCTATAACTCCGTGGTTATCTCAAATTTGAAAGGGGAAAAGATACGACCAATAACAGACTTGTTCAGATCATTCCGTTCTGACATTGCTGTCCGCAACAAAGACAAGATCGAGATACTTGAACTGACTGTCTGCCATGAAAATAACTTCATAAAATCAAAACAATTTAAAATGAATAAATATATTGGTAATTTGAAAGATAATATTATTGATGACTTTAAGCATTGCAATATTTTAATTAATACCTTTGAAAGATCGCTAATTGGCTTTTACAATCCTTTTAATATGTC